TTTAGACATAGTGAAAGTATTTGCAAATCATTCACTTCTATTTTATTTATTTTCAATAATAACTCCCTTTTGGATACAATATCCACTCTTAACAGCTAAAGCATGATTGAACTTTTATTGAGCTTTTTTATGGTCATATTCAGCACTCACAGTTAATAATAACTTTAAGTTAAGTTAAGTTAAGGTTATGGAAATATCATCGTCTCTCATCGGTTAAATATTGACAGAGTCAACAGTTTTCCTATTAGCTCCGTTTTACTTACCTGTGGGGATTTCGGACACAGCCTTTAACTGCCAGGTGATGCTGAGCAGCTAGCATACAGGACTGCTGCATCTGAATACAAAGTTGATAGGAGCAGTGAGTGTGAACTAAAGCAGTACAATTTTGACCCATAAAACCAAACCAAGGAGCTGAAAGATGCTAAAGCACTTCGTCCAACTGAGTTGAACTGTGCGTTCGTCACTACAAGCGACCTTTTTGCACATACACATAATTTGATCCGTTGTTGATGTGAAAATATTGTTCACAGCAGCTTTAAAGGAGCATTTTAACTTTTAGAATTACAACCCATTCACCTCAATCAGTTCGCAATGTAAGCATGGCAGCCCCTTATTTGGTCACAGTCTTGCAAACCATAGCTTTCTTTCTGTCCCTCTGCAATGCAGACCAAACACCATCCACAAACTAACAAACATCTTCCTCATGATAAATCATTAAAGAAAGCACACATAAGAAATTGAACAACAACAGAGTTTCTCCTCCTTCCTCTCCTTCTCCCACATCCCCACAGTGCAGTTTCCACTACAGTAAGCAAAAGGAAATGTGTGTGTACCCATGACCTAAAATGGCACATGTAGCAAAATATTTTCCGAAATTTCTACATATTCATGTTAAGATTTTACATCAAGGTTATTTCTTTGACTGCTTGCTAAAATTTCCCTTACCCTGCGGGGGATGACGCAGGGGCCTTGTTCCCTGCACATGCTAGCGGTTGCATAACAGGGTGTTAAGGATCTGCACTGCCTCTCTCCGGAACCCTGAGGGCAACGAGCGCAAAACATGCCTTCCTCCTCTATTTCTGTTCTCCGACTTTTTCTCTATCTCTCTGGTGCTCACATTTGCAAAGAACAATAGCAGAGCAGGTAGTTTAAGTTGAAAGGGGGAAAATTACTCCTCTTCTCCTGTGTCCTCCCTCCTTTTTCATCTGAGGGATTTTCTCGAGCACCCCCCCTCCCCCTCTTTCTGTTTCTGTCTCTCTGTGGTTTTTTCCCTTAGTGAAAATGGGTCACCTTTCTTCTGTCAGGAGAATGCTTGGGTAAGTATAACCTCTATGTGTGTGTGTGTGTGTGTGTGCATGCAAGGTTTTTACTGTCTAGGGGGGTTCCAAGCCCTGGAAAAGTCATGTGCAAGGACCATTTTCTGGGGCTCATTAGGGGAAAAGTTTTTTGGGCTAGCGTTATAGTAGGGTTAGGAGAAAGGTTAAAATATGTATTGGGGTTACTTTTATCATTTCGGCAAGTTGCAATGACAGTTAAGGCTACAATACTCAAAACTTCTTCTGACTTTTTTTCAACCTTATTGTCGTCAAAGTGGCCACTCAGATCATTTTTTCCCTTGGCACCTTCGTTGCACATTACAAATGAAAGTAAACACAGACCATGCCAAGTTTTCTATTTGCACAACTTACATTACTTACTTACTTGCTACACATTGAACATGCGTACGTATATAACATCTTCCTTGTAAATCTACATATACTTTACACATTATATATGTGTGTAAATGTAACAATAAACATTTTTTTCCATGTGTGTATCGTGGAGTGCATTACATTGTGCAACCCTGTGTAATGACAATAGAGCTGAACCTTGAGTAAGTAGTTGTATAAAAGGTAGCGTGCTATATGTGTGAGACTATGTCATAAATGTTTTTTATTACTACGGATGAATATGTAGCATTGATTTGCTAGTTGGCTAACCAAACAGCTTGATTAGCCTGCAAGTAAATACATATGCAGCTACTAATCTAATCCAGTTTCTGTGTTTACTTTAGTTTAAACATCTCTACAACAGTGCAAAGTTCTGTTACGTCTCTTCAATTTGTGGTTGGCAAAGTGGTAAACTGTTAGAAAAGAAGGACCGACATTAACCAGTGTTCATGTCTCAACAGAATGATGTTCACCTACTGTAGATGAGGCAGTAAGCAAGGGACTTTGTGTATATCTCTATACGTGTGTTTTCCAGGCTGATAGAAACCCTGCATCCCCTCTCTTTGTCTCTGGCAGTATGCATGCAGGCAGTGTTGGACTTTCATGTGAGAGCACCATTGCACTTCAAACAAGATCTCAAACACATTGACTGTGTGCCTAAAGGAGAAAAAAAGCTGAAAAAAGAGATTCTCTCTGCATCCTGATAGAGTGCACTGGGATCCACCCTCTTGCCTCTTCATCTATTCTTCCATCTACCTGTCAAATCTGTGGCTCAGCTGTGCCGCTTCTCTCTGCACATCAATGTGAAACAACTCTCTGGAAGCACCGCATGAGCTGTTTCACAAGTTGTAGAATGCAAGTGCTGCTGTGACCGAGAGTGGGAAACCGTTTCATGCACAGACACATGCAGATATGACACACAGTTACACAAGTCACCACCTCAGCCACTGTCACCAGTGCGAGTAAAAGGGAATCAGGATGGGGTGAAAAGTTTCAGAGTGTCAGACTACAGCATTATGTCATGACGGTGTGTGTGTATTAATCGTAGTATACTTAGGGGTATAGACAGCTCATCATGTTACATTGCTAATTGCTAATATTAGACCATAGAAAAGGATATTTCTGGTTTAGTTTTTTAAAACCATTAATCTGCTACTTCTTCTAACGCTAGCCTCTTGTTGAAGACAAGGTGACTTTATTAAATACATTTGTATGGCAAAAACATTGAGAGATCTTGACCTTAGAAAAAGTAAGATTAGGTTAAAAAGCTTGATTAAAAAGTGTGACCTTGAATTACGTTACACATATATCCAATGTTATGCATACTGAGATGTGAATTTCACTTCCATCCTATCCCTAGTGACAACACAACTTGCATACTTGTTATACTGTAAATGTGAGATAATATGAAAAGGTCTGTGCCTATATGAAGCTAAACATCCAACCATCCATCCATCCATCCATCCATCCATCCATCGTCAACCGCTTATCCTGTGTAAAGGGTCGTGGGGTGAAGCTAGACATGCGTGTTTAATTTGACAAACCAGGCATTAAAAAGTTTAAAGTTTAAAAAAAAGTTTCACTTTTGTTGAATAAATTACTGCAAGTTGGAATAACTTCATTTTTTAAACCCAAACACAACGCATGTACATACTGTATATGCTAATAAGCTAATAGTATGGCCATTGTGTGGTCATTTACTCAACTCATCCTTTTAAGTTACAAGACTGAGCCCATGAAAAAACAGATAAGTGGACAATTTCAAGCAATACTGGATAACTACGAATAGACAGCTAGATTTTGAAAGTATTTCATCACCTCCAATCAGGCCTCCCTCCAAATGGCAGCTAGGTAGGTAGGCAGGTATCGAATGAAACGTTTGGCTGTGCTTATACAGTGGAGAATTTCAACAAATAAAACAAAAAATGCGTCTGAAATAAATTGCCCGACCCAGATTAAAGTTGACCTAAACACAAAGACTTGATAATTAATTATTATATTATATATAAGATTTTAGGGTTAAGTACATTATTTTTCAGGACTCACTCACCATTGTTGAAAATACTAGCTTGGTTTGTTGGCACAAAATCATGTCTTTCTTTGAAAGCAACAACTTGTGCTCTGTATTTATGCCAAAAATATAAGTTGACATTTTTACAATACACAATCTAAAACTGGCATCTGCAAAGCTTCTTAAAGGTTAAGTCTGTAAGTGTTAGTGGTGAGGGTTGCGAATTGCATCCAACTGCTCACTCACAGCTCCCCCCTCCCTTTGCGTGTAGAAGAAACTACGGTGGCCGACATGCTCTGTCGGCTCTTGTGCTAAATAATACAGTATGTGTGGTCCTCTATATGTTCAAATTTCTCTTATCTTCTTACAACTTCTTACGACTTCTTCTTCGTCTTCTCCTTTTTTTCGGCTTTTTTGGGCTACTGTAGAAATGTGGTGGGACAACATGGCGACTTCCATGCAAGAAGTGTGTAGATAGAAATGGCTCATTCTAAGACATATTGGTTCACTATGTAAGGTCTTTATACACCACTGAAAACATTGTTATGCATATTATATTCCATCTCTGTCAATAGATCCTCCTACATATTACACACTCGGCCTTTAACTAACATATGAATAATATACCCATCTGTATGGTGAATTATCGTAACACACTGCACATTTATTGTGAATGAAGGCTGTGGACAATGCTATTTACAAATGGTGATCGATTTGTCTGGTTTGTATTGTATTACTTGGCAATGGCTATGAAGTAAATGAAAAATGGAGCCTGGGCAATGCAATTGAAACACAAATGTTTATATTTCCATACATCTAAATCAAGCAGAAGCCCAGCAGCATCACACTTTGCAAGATGGAGAATTTCTGAGCATCATCATTTTTTGTGAATGACCTTTTTTTTCACTGCAGAGATCAACAGTTTGTGGTAAGTTACAGTAAACATTTCAGCTCTGTAAATTATAAATGTAGAGGCCCTTTGTTATTCTGTAACTTTTAAGGACAATATAAAGACATCACAAGTCACTTTCACAATTTTTCCACATAGACTTTCATAACTGCATGTAACTCCTGACATATTTCTGTATTACCTTCATTTTAAGAAACACTACTGCCACATTTAAAATGCACGTGTTGCTGCCCCAAACTGCCTACTGTGTTTAATTAGATACAGAGCCAGTGGTGGGGTGGCACTTTTTCAACCAGGACTGGTGTAATGAATTTACAAATCAAGTCTTTAAGGGCTTACTGCATTACTGTACTGTATGTGCTGACCGTACCGAAGTGTAGAGGTAGCCCTCGCTGTTCATGGCAACGTAGAGCCCTGTCTTGGTGCTCTGGATGGCCACTATCCTGAGCCCCACAGGAATCAAGTTGAACTGCACTGCAAAAAAAAAAGAGGGAAGGGGTTGTTAGAGCAATCATTCTTTCTCTTAAACGCTCACAGTGCTTCCTCGTGGCATAAAAACACAATTGCTTTCCATCTGTCTCCTATTTCATCCTCCCTGGTGTACAGTATATCTGTCAAAGGCGGGAAAAGGACGTGTGTGAGAAAGAGAGAGGGAGAGACAGGGAAGGATTATGAGGGGGAGATATAGGAGGAATGAAGTTCGGTTGCTGGTACACCGGAGGTGAGACAAAGCTGGGAGTGACAGTAAGGAGAACTCCCCTGCAGGAGAGAGAGAGAGAGATAGACAGAGCTTGGATTAGCAGAGAGCTTTAAGGATACAGTACATTAGAAAGTGACATCTCCTTAGCCTTCTTTGAATTCATTTCCTCTGTCCCGACACAGTAAACAGCACTTTGGAATGCAGTTCGCTGAATCCGCTACCTGCTGAACCTTGGATTTCTTATGTGCATAGCTCTCCATATAAAACTACCTTCAACATGGCCACTGGGACAACACTCACACTGTGTATTTGTGTGTTTGAATCAAAAGTGTCAACAGTAGGGTTACCTGCATGTGCTTGCCATTTGTTGTATCATTTGTTGTGCAGTTCTGTATGTTCATGTTTCCTGTGTATTCACGTGTTTATCCTTTTGAGATCTCTTGAGCGAGTGCAATCTAAAACAGTGTCTTACATAATCTGACATGGTAAGCTGAGTGATACTGACAAAACAGCCTCTGGCTGCCAGCTGCTCTATGGTCACATTGTTATGATGACCAAACGCTCCCATGACGATTAAAGTCAATGAAGCATTTGGATTGAATCCGGGATGAGAAAGGCGACCAAAACAGACGAGTTTAAGAAGATTGAAAACAATAACCGCTCTAATTAAATTATTCAAGGAAAGGAATATCTCCACATTTTAGGAAATATGCTTATTGGATTTTTTGCTTGACTTCCAGGGACCATATCCTCACCATGAGGTACCAGACAACCAGCGGAGACTCAAAGTAGTCCATGTAACTGGCTGGTGGTTACCAAGTCCTCATTTCTACAAATTTCTGTTTGTGTATTAAACAAAAAAGAAATTAATATAAATATGTCAGTCTTATGTCAGGCACTTTGAACTGCCTTGTTTTTGAAAGTAGCACTATAATAAACTTGCCTTGCCTGCTTTCATTCGTTATACTAAGCAAAGATAAGTGACCCTCAGCTCTAGCGCCATAGCTAAGACAGAGACACGAGAGTGGTATCAATCTTCTCATCTAACTCTTGGCAAGAAAATATCTGGTCGAACATGATATTAATAATAATTCTTGACTTTCTAACCTTAACAAGTGACAACAACAAGGTCCTCTTACTAGCCAGCAGGTCCGTTTTTATGCATTTCATTATAGATCATTAGTTTGTGTGACTGTAGTGAATTACCGTAAATAAGCTCTATTAAAAGAAACAAAAATCGGGACCGTTACTCATTTCTAAACCCTGGCTACGGTCAAGCAGACATTATAAAGTGGCAGTGGGGTTATCAAAATTTCAGATTTGAAGTCTCAGAAGCAGGTTTTAGATCCATGGAGCCATTAGTTGCTATTAAAAAATCTATTTCAAATGAAAGGTTCTGCCAACATAATGGATGGAAGTTAAGTTATCAGATGGAAACAGAAAGTCAATGCTGGCCATGATGGGGGCAAAAAACAAACAATAAAATGTGTCAACACTATTTTTGATGAATAATGAGTTTTGAAGTGTTTGGAATTATTTAAGAAAGTTTAGTTTATCTTTTAGTAATGCATCTAAAACAAACAATTTTCTTTCAGTTTTTCCTTCTATTTAGGCACTGTGTGTGCTAAACAGGCAGAAAGTTGTACATTTCACTTTTTACTGCCAGTGTGAACATAGTCCAATTTTACTGTAATCTCACATTAAACAGAAATAATATTCACTCTGTCAGCCAGTCCTGTATAAATTAAAGAAAACACAGCACACAGATAGTGATGTGTGTCCAGCTTGAAGGTGCACATTTAGGTAATGAAAACTGCACATGCTTCTCAAAGGGCATCACTTTGTTTTGAAAAGTGGTGGGCACATAATGGCTCAGATTAGGGTCGTGATGATACACGAGAACAAAATGAGAAGATTTTTAACACTATTTTGAAGAAATATGAAATGCTGAAATATGTAACGTGAAATGTGTACGTCTTGGGGTCCTCCTCCAGAAAATTGGAGTATTAAACACTTAATTTCCTTCATTCTGGAGACAGTTTCTGCTCCAATTTATGGTGGAAATGTCTTTATTTAACTAAAGGGAAACAAAAAGTTCAGATGGCACGTGACAATTCAGAAAAATAAATATAGAATATAATGCTGTAATCAGCAGCTTGTTTTTTTTTAGCTTAAGGTACTTTCTTGGACAATGCACTTTTTTTTCTTGTGTATTTAAATTTTTTATTATTGTGCAAATAAACCTTTCTCAAAGCATTTTCATTTGTAATTTACCATTTTTTGGTGCTAGCTATTTTCAGAACATTTTTAACAAATGCTTTCAAAAAGTGATGGGGACAGAATCAGCCATTTCAAAATGTGGTGGGGACATGTCCACAGCGTCCCCAGTGAATATGACACCTATGTGCTTCTCACCCCCCCTTTCTCCCTCCCTCATTCAGATCTTCAGAGTCCTGCATCTATTTGCTCGATCGATCCCTGCATCTCAAACAGTCGGTTTCGCAAATGAACAAAGTGTCACCAAAGACCATGGCCGGGATGACAAATAGAGCAGGACACGCAGGCGTCGCCTCCTTCCTGGCCCTCACCTTTCCTTTTACTCTTGTTTCTCACTCTCTTACACCAGCAGTCTGCGGTGTTGTTGACCCCACATAACCTACTGCACATTGAGACACACACATGAGGAAAAACACCACCACACACATGCAGCGCTGTACTGCCATCAATAATGAAATCTGGAATGCAGAGAGCATTTGTCATTCACTTGATGATAGTTTATTTGGTTGTTTTTGTTTTTATAAGATAGAAGAGCAAAAGACTAAAAAATGGATTAAACTGCGTTGGTCTGCCCTAAAGTTGCAACTGTTAGCATGGCTAACTAGCTTACAACCTCTAGTGGTAACTGGGTGTTACTTCCATCTTTTTATGTTAAAAAGCGACTGTTGTTCCCCCATTGTGTGTAAGAAGGTCCTCAATGAATGCTAATCAGAGAGTAGGCTAACGTTAGTGGTACTAACTAGCTCTGTTGGATTTGGAAACTCTTTATCCAAGATAGTGTTACATTCGCCCAACACGTCAGTCTTAATATAAAAAGCACTCTCTCTTGTTAAAAAATTAAAAGTAAAATATTTGGTTTGATGATACAAACAATGAAACATAAATCTAACTTCTGCCTTACTTGTCCAAGTGTGCTAAGCAGCCAAGGATCCTACAACTGGCTAGCTCTACAATACAATACAAGAATGTCTTCTACTGTAAATGTATCAGGGATATGAAGCTTTAGTCTTAGTCTTTTAACCCGATATAATATATGTAGCAATCAAGAGCAGGGTTTACAGGGTTCTTGTTTTACTACTAGTCAGCTGGAAACGTTAGAAAAGATAGCCAGAGAAAATGTTAAAGCTAATTTTAGCTTAATGAGCCAGGTAGCTGGGCAACAGTTTTCATTTCAGCTAGCTGGCAAAATTGACGTCACCAGCTAGAAAAGAGAACCCAGCTTTTAACACGTCTAAAATTGAGGACATATTGTTTTGAAAAATTTGGAGTGGTGAATCTGACCCTGTTGTTGTAAACTATGTACTGAGATTGGAAACTCACCCTCCCGCCATTGTCTTTTGTTTCCTTCATCCCTCTCTTTCTCTATCACGCTATCGCTGCATCTATCTTTATTTCCCCCTACTAAGAAAGTTTGCTTACTTTCTCATACTCAATCAAAAAGAGCTTGTCTTATCAAATGGATCACATAACTCTCTCCTGGGATAATAGAGGCATCCCACCTCTCTTTTGTTTGCCCTTTTCCCTCATGGCTCTCTCTCTCTCTCCGTCCTTCCGTTTGACTCATTTTTTTTTTCCTCTGCAACTTAGAGAGGAGGTCGGTGGATTAATCAAAATTCTTTTGAGGGAGAGACGGAGGGAGGGAAAAGGAGAAGAGGGGAGGGAAATGAAAGGGAGGGAGGAGGGTGTTGCCAAATCAATCCCACAAGTCAATTTGAGGCTTGAGATCTTTCACACAATAAATAAACAAGGAGAAAGTGGAGATGGGATGAGGGGGAGGAGGGGCGGCTGAGCGGGGGGGAAGCAGTAGCAGGACACAGAGTTAAGCTGTGCAGAGGGCATCTGCAAGCCTGCACACTGTGCTGCCGCTCTGCGGTGTTGTATTGTACAGCCCAGTTGGTCTCTACTGGAATGAGAAGAGGATTATAATCTCTCTGTGAGAAGTCACATAGAGTTTAACTGGACAGGCATTCTCTTATGTGGAATAAGATAAACAAAATATTGGACTCACTGAGATCAAGTTCTCTTTTTTCAAACTTATGGTCAGTGCATCAACAAACTTGATGAAATCATGAGCTTCATCGTGAGATCCCCTCACTGGTGACTCAAAGCACTGCTGTCAGGTTGCACATAGTTGGAGTCCATAGTCTCTGTCCAACCAATACACGCTGAACAGCTGGACATGCTGGACATGCTGTAGGCTACAGGCTCAAAATTATAGTAGTTACCATGACCCAACTGTATATACTGACCACCCAGTTAGTATACAAGAAATGAATGTATTTTACCATGTTTATAACAATAAATAATGCGATATGTGCCACTGCTAATTTAACTTAACAAAGCCAAAGTTGTAATGGTGCATACCATATAATCATAACATCCTTCAATTCAGGCATTGGTCCTTGGCTGCATGTCTTTCACACACTTTGTTTCCTGTCTCTCTCTCTACACGGCTTACTGTCAAATAAAGGCAAAAAATAATTTAAAAAACAACAAATAAATTATATGATATATTAAATGTTCATAAATAATCAAATAATTTGTATTCCCAAAGGTTATGGTTATGGTGTTATGTAAATGTCCATCTTAAGGAATGTATATGTTTGTGTGAATATTAACTACAATTACATGACCCATTCCACTACAGTTCCACAAAGTTAAATTAACATCTACATCTTGAAATAAGACAGACCACCGCATTGGGATCAGTACAACTTGACACTTGAATTAATAAAGTTGTAGGAGACAAGTTGATTTGCATTGGCAGTAAATAAAACAGCCTGTCTTCATTCGCAGTCTGTCATTTGCATTGTAAAAAATGAGCTTTAAAGACTAAATAGTAGATTAAATGAGTTGTCGCTGAGCTTCACGGCTGATTTCCCTGGTGGTCGATGTCTCTGATTACAAGACAACTACCTTCCCTCCCCTGTTATTTAACTTCTACCTCTTCCCTGAGGCTTTCCTCTCCATAACTGGTTTCTCTCAGCTTTTACCCGTCTTCCTTTCAGTCCATCTGTCTTTCCCCTTCTCTTCTCCTCTCTCCCTATTTTTTTCTGTCTTTTCACCCTGCCTTGTCATGAATTAACAACCTTTTTCTTATCTCACTCTGTTTTTTTTATACGTCTCACCATTTTTCTCCCTTATTTGTTCCCTTTCAGTTCCCTCGTTGCCTGCTGTCGTTCTCTCCATCTTGTGAAACCAATACTCAATCCACGTCCATTCATCTTTGTCCTATTTTACCCTGCAGCCTTCTCTGTCTGTCTCTTCATTACTCTCTCTTCTTGTCTCTGCCTCCCCTCTTTTGTATCTTCTATCCTCACTTCCCCCTCGTTGGGTATTCTTCATGCTCTTCTTTTCAACCTTACGAGCCCGCTGTGGTACTCTTTTTACCTTTCTCCTCATCTAGCTGAGAGAGCTGTTGCTTTCGATGTTCACATTTTTTCCTCTTTGAATGCTGCAGCTCTCACACAGCGTTTCCCTCATCTGCCTTTCAAGTCTTTGAATTTTTTTTTCTCTCTGTCCTCTGCGAAGAAGCGTTATCGAGCACTGTTGAAAGTTAGACAGAGAGAAATAGCATACTTGTTCCAGAGCAGAGAAAAAGATAAGGAAAATTTCCCTCCAACAGTGGGAGATGGTAATTACAGTGGATAAAAGTCAGGGAATCAAGCTCCTCCTTATGGCTTTCCGATGTACACACTGAGAGTCAATAGCTTTCATCTCTTTCTGACTCTCTCCCTACTTGCCTTCCTTCCTTTTTTCTCTTCTTCGCTGTCTATCAAACTGTCTCAATATGTTTTTTTTCTCTTCCTCTCCAAGAAACAAAATTCGGAAATATACCAAACCCAGTGACAATCACACCAGCAGCTCCATCCGTCATCCCTTGCTCAGTTCATTTATTCTATCCCTGCTTTCTTTTGTGTGTGTTTTAATCTTTCTTCAGCTCCTCTGAGATATGGTTCCCTCCATGTCTGTTCCTTAAATCTTCTGTTTGGTGACAGCACTCACCAAACCCCTTGTTCTGTGAATGTTTCACTTCAGTTGCTGTTGTCATCTGTTATATATCTTTGCTTGTCTATAATATCTATTTGATTAACCCCATATTTAGCATGCACATCTCATGTTGGCATGTACATGTGAGCTTTAGGCCCCTAGTTGTTAATGGATACATAGTACCTATTTATTATGATCCTATCTTATTATGAGCTATGGGACCACACATCAACACAAAATTGCCTTCTAACTTACAATTGTTTTTGGTTATTTCACATTTGAACCTTGCATGTTTTTGTTGGTTTGAAGTGGTTGGCCGAAGATAACATTAAGTTTAGAAAGTAAGAAACTTGCCCAAATTGTAGTCACAATGTGCAGAAATTGAAAATTCTTGACTATAAAGCCCCCAGAACCAGTATCAAAAAGACACTTTGGCAGACTACAATTGACAATTTTTGCCATCAGAATAATTTCAAATATGCCACAATCACATTACAGTTTTACACAGTTTTCACATACAGATTTGTCAAATCAATACATTTTTCCACATTCATTACCACACGCCTATAATGTAACTGATAAACTGAATAAAAGCAGACAGGAATATTTCAAGTTACTTTTAGGTCTTTGCTAGCTGCATTTCACACTGGACTAAAATGAATGGAAACCTACTACAGTGGTTTGGGGGTTTGGGTTTTTGAGTCTTATGCCTTCTTGTTTTATTTTAAAACGTGTCCTTGTGTGTTCTTTGCAGCTTTATTAATCCCTTCCTTCCTTGTATATTTAAAGTTGCCGTAGAAAGGAAAACTGTGTACTGAAAACTGTAACATGAAACTGATATAACTTGAGCCTCAATCACCATTGTTTCCTCCTTCATATGTAAATATTGCTCATGCAAGAGACCCCGGAAAATCGGGCAATTGTCGCAAATTCGCATCACACCTTCCTTTCAGACTACAGCTGAGATAACTGTTTATATAACCCAAATGCCTGTTTGTGCATATTCGATACGTACCTGGGAACCTTTTGCAAGCACTGGTTTCTCATTTATGTCTGTTGTCGCTAATTTGCATCATACCTACATCATACCTGAATTTATATATTTTCTATGTTCTATAGACAAATTAACAATCTTCACTTAATTTAACATCAACCTGGAAGCAAATGAAAATATTTTTTTTTTATTGTAAATAAATTTAAATAAAAGTATGAACCTGAAAATGAGGATTCTATGGTACCTTGAAGTTTCCTTATGCTTTGTTGTTTAAAAGATCATACTTTGTCTTTATGTCAACTGTTAATGGACTGACATTACATTTATTCATTTAGCTGACACTTTCATCCTGGGTCTCTCACACCAAAGGCATGCGTCTTATCCACTGCACCATCACCACCAACAACTTTTGTTGGATTGTTTGGACTTTGATTCCGCTTGCTTTTGACCTTTGCCTGGTTACCTCTAACCCGCAAGCTTGCTCATCTTTTTTTTAACTTTAACCATAAACTGTACTTGTTCCGTCTGTGTGTTTGCATGTTATGAAGTTAGGAAACTGCATTAAAAGTCTACATAGTATTTCAGGAAATAGTTGGCAATCTGTAAAGAATTACAAAGTGGCTAAAATGTGCAAAAATACCTGTATTGTCCTTTTAACAGAACCTTTTTCCTGGTAAATAATAAAGCAAAAGTCCCTCACCATACTCTCTCTCCCCTCTAATTCCTCTTCCAGCTTTATTACATAACAGCTTGGAACAGACAAGAACAGAGAAGGAGAGTGGAGCAGGATGGGAGGAGGGGGTGACAGCTCCTCTGACCTCCCACCAGAGGGGGGAGACACTGTGATTGAGGAGCCATCAGCTGTGTGCCAGCTGTTCCTTCTGCACCCCATCGCTCCCTCCCCTCTCCCTATCTTCATTACTATCATCCTCGTCTTTTTTCCCTCTCTTTTCCCCTGCCAACCCGTCTTGTCTTGCTGGCTCAGATTTCTTTAGCGCATTTCAACGTGCCCTCTTTCTCTTTCTCCTCTCATCTCTGATTCCCTTATTCTCTTATTCTCTCTTCCTTCCTTCCTTCCTTCCCTTTGTCGCTTTTTGCTTTAATATACAGTCCCTTCCAGCTTCATGATAACTTCCTCTATCTCCTAGTTATGGAAGTGATAAAAGTATTGCAAGGCCATACAAAAGCCACGCTCACATCACGTTTTGCAATATCCCCTCAGGGCTTCCGTACCTCCTTCCAACTTTTGTCCCTACGCCAACCTTTCCCTTCTGCCCAGAAGAACCAGGAGGTGAAGGCAGCTGCTGTAAAGCCAGGTAGCCCAGGAAGAGAGGTGACAAGAGGGAGTCAGCGAGGTATTCAGTCCCATTATTTGCTCCCTTCTGCTCCCTGGAGGCCATTGGTTCAGTGTCATTACACCAGGTCACAGCAGGTCACAGGTGTGAAAGAGCGTGAGGAGAAGTCAGGGTCAAAGCGCGGTGCGGTTTAAAACACTAATGGAGGAACAGAGGGATGAGAGGTGGCGATTCTGGGAGAGGCCCTTTAAAGCTATACTTTGTAATTTTGTGTTTGCAAGTTGAGCTAGACAAGCACATGTCTGAAAAAGTGCGTTTGCAAGTGTGTATTTGTTTGAATGCGCAAATCCAGGAACATGCATCACCATTTTTAGGGCAGATCAGTTGATTAGTACCACAGTTGGCCAAGAACTTCATCACAGTGGGAGACTCCCTTAATTATTTATCCCATTTGCTGCTGATTTGGCCCTTTTTTTTGGGTTGTCTTGGCGTGCACCGCCGTGGGGTTCATACTTTCTGCGCACACATGCATAAACACTCTCTGAGGAGACGAAGGGGAGTGGAAGGTGACACATTGTAATATGGTTGCATGCCTCAGGATTTCATTTAGTTTCACATATTTGTCTAGATCAGATCTGAAAAATATATTCAGATGCATTATTATGCAAACTGTCCATTGGCCCAGCTCCAGTGTCGGCCTGGGCACTGAACCCTCACAGACTTTAACTGACATCACTGTCTGAGTGCATCTCTGCACTCTACTGAGTGCTCTCCATTGGAAATAATGGCACAGTGTGAAAGCCCTGTCACAACGGAGAAAGAACTTTGGTTGCCTGGACAAAGACATTTTAAGGACATGCATTAGGCTGAAATCTTATGTTGTAAAAAATTTGGACCAAATCTACATATTTTAATGTCACTATCATTTCATTATAAGTCAAATAACTATTCAGTAATAGTGAGTAACATAGGTGTTTTCAGCTGACTTGCTAAAAATATAAAACACACAGTTTCCCTGTTCAATGAGAGATTATTACAGATATTTTGATTTACCCCAAAATAAAGTGGTTTAGAGAGTCTGGATAAATTGTTGGCTTGTTTACAATCTGTTTTATCGGCTGACTGCTTGCCGTTTTGGCCCCTTTGTTGTGGCAGAGTCATCTTACTTCTAGATATCAGCAATTCATTTGGTGAGTACAAGGCAATCATAACTAAGAGAAATTATGGCTGAAAATACGAAAAGAAGACCCAGGTCGTAATCAGGGATGCTAACTTGCCACCTTTTTGTGATAACCGTTTTTATTCCAAAATTCATTTTTGTGATTCATGTAGATCCGATGTGAAGACTGAAGAGGCCGTCTCTGGAAGGTCAGTGTTTGACTGCCAGCATGCCTTAAGAATCTCTTACAGTACTGTTATGATGACCTTAACTGGCTTATATGACAATATGTCAAGCTTGGGACTGTTATCAGTCCCAAGACTGATATGGTTTAGTTGTTTTGATTTAGCAAACGGTAACCACCCCAATTTGGATGTAACATGTAGTTGTTGTTTTTTTCCCCATGGAGTCTAATGTTAGATAGCATACTTGTTTATTCCAAATTCCACTTATAACACTTATTATGGCTCTGGGACTACTCGTTTAATGAACGATTTTCGACAATGACAACTTAAGTTGAGCTCCTCAGCCAACTTAATGTTAAAATTTGCCCCTGGTGGTTCCATTTTATTTAACTAAGATAATGGCAACACTAATACTGTCATAACCATGATATAATTAAAGACTTTGCCTTTGCATTTGTTTTTAACACGAGACTTATTCATGAGACAGTGTAGACATAAAACCCTGTTAAAATGGACCTTAATAGATGTTCTGTTAATATAACAATGTAATTTTTATAGGGTAAGTTTTTCCTTATATCCTAATGCTAATATTATCTCTCAATCCACATTTTAAAGCTGATATTTAAAATAATAATATTAATAATCCTGGGGGTGATGCTCCCTGACTCCCCTAGGGGATTTACATCTTTGTCACCTTTTTCACCCTGTGAAGAGATTGCATCCCTTTGTAATAAATCAGACATATGCCTTAAGGCTAATCATGTAAAACCTGACATGTCACATATCAGGGGCCAAGAGGTGTGTTGATCCAAGGCTGGATTACTAATGGTAAAACGGGCCTCTGCCCTAGACCTGTTCTAAGTTCATTGTGTGGTAATTGGTTTATGGTATTTTGATCAATCATAACTTTATATGGGGATACCATAAATGCATCACTAAAGCGTAATGTCAGCTGACTTTAGTGCCTGTTTTATTACTTTGTCTTGATCCAGTTTGCACACTACATGATCTGTACTGACGTAAAAAACAGCGATTTGACTGAGAAATTAGAGCTACGATTGAAATTGAAAGTAAAAGCTGTTTTGTTGCAGGCCAGTTTCCATTGTACTAAAAGGGCTCTGCTCCCGGGGAGACTACTGAAGATAACCTGCCAGTCAGTGTGTTACCGTACATGCCCACGCAGCTATTTCCACCTTTTCAATATTCTGTGCAGCCAGGTAGATGATTGTGCTGCTGATTGATACTCAGTTACAGTAATGTCAATCATTGAACGATTTCTGCATGAATGAATAAATAATCAGACAGAAAAAAGTGCACAATTTACATGTTTTACAGGACTTACCTGTCAACCTCTCCACACTGCCCACTGAGGATGCAGGGAGACAGCATTAAACCAGATCAGACCAAATAGAATTCCAGTTGTTATAAAATTAACCATAAGTCAAACCCACGCAAATATTTGCTGGGTGTTACATAGGAAGGAGTGGTGAGAGCAGCTCTGATCAGTTACTGTAGAGCTTTCTGGAGGTGTGTGGGCTTAGTTTTACCAAACAGCTGCGTGAGTGCCCTCTCAAAAGTTTTCCCATTACTCCTGGATTTTCAAGGCATTGTAACTCAAAATCCTGTCTTTTAGAGTGAATAGAAACCCGTCCAAATCCAAATGAACACTTTTGAACACAAAATAATGGCAGTGGCTAAGTTCCTTAAAACGTCCATCCATTATCTATAACCGCTTATCCTTTGAAATCCCAAGACATGCTTGGGAGAAAAGGTGGGTACAACCTGGAGAGTCACAAGTCATATAGACACATAAGCCCCTTTTCCACTGCATGGTACCAGCTCGCCTTGCCTTTTATTGGTTTTTCTTTGTGGAAAAGTTGTACCTGTATCTGCTACTTTTTTTCGTATCACCTCCATCGAGGTTCCAAGTGAGCTGAGGCGATACTGAAACTGTGATGTGAAAACACAGCAGACCAGTGATTGGTCAGAGAGAATCGTCCCTATTCACTGCATCAAGATTGTGTGCGCCAGAGGCCAGCAACAGAAAGTTTTATATTTTATATACAATTTTCATACGTTATTTCATCACTAAATCCACTTCTGAGAAGTTTTGAGGTGAGAAATCAGCTGTGTAGATTTCAAATATTGAGTGGCGGCGGGTGAAACCTGCGGAAACCCGCGGGAGGAGCGTGTGAGGCCGGCCAGCCGCCCGTTCACAGAGCCCTCTGCTCCCGCCGACACACAGACCACTGCAGCAACAACGGCAGAGGAAAACACAGCTGGAAGGTTTTTATACCACTTATCTGTCTTTACATTCTGAGGAATGTTGAAACATTTTAACTTAAATCAAGAGAAAGCTTTAAGTGCTTAGCGCCTTAGACATACTGTTCAATTTTCTTTCCTAAAAAAAGAAAAACCTCATCCCTCAAGGTTAAAACCAGGTTATTCACACCTATTAACATTGCTGCTGCCCCAAGTATTCTGAAATCTCACTGAAATGTTGAAGTACAAACATTTCTGAGGGAACCACAATTTAGAGTTAAAGTGTGATTACACTGTAAATCCAACTTTGTGCTGGCTTCATGTTTTAGATCCAAACTGGTGTTTTGGCAGAAAAAAATGCTGTGTTGCCACAACGGGAAATATCCTACAATACAATATTGATCGCTTTGGGAAGGTTACAGGGAGTCCGGGGACTCTGGGAATCATGGTTATTGGTCAGTAATCACCCAGGTGATGATCCCTCGCAGGGTGATGTGTGTTGCTGTTCTGTATTTTTTTGGCCATGCTATAGCAACATTACTATAGGGATGGAAATTGTAGTTGGTCAGTCCACAACTCTAAACACTGAAAACAATCCACATGGCGGCGGTAACCACCTGGTATTTGAAACCATCTTTATTGTTTGGTATTACATATATAAAACAAAATACTTTTTTTTTTTCTTTCTACGTTTTCTTTTCACTTTTTGTTATGGTTTCATCATCTAATTTTATCATTTAATGATAATCATTGCATTCATTATATTTATTTATATTACTCTCACCATTTAAAAGGAGATTGCTTAGCTGCTGTATTGTTTTATTTGACATTTATTCAGGAGCAAGAAGACTACGGTAGATAACCCTATTAGCTTCCAGGTTATTCACATTTGAATAATCTGCATAGTAATTTAGGTTTATAAGTATCCCATAACAAATCCATAGGAATCACATTGTCCTTCTCACATCCCTGTCTGAGATAAATGAGGATGTTGGGAACATTATCGAGCACTGGCTGCTTTAGAGCACACAGCTACTTAAAATCATCCACGCTTGAGAGACACAGTACCATCGGCACTGACTTGGGTTAAACATGGGGGAAGGAGTGATGTTTGATGACATCGTGTCTTGAGGAGACTCTCCAAGCAGACATGGTACAGCATGTGGAAAGCAAACAGATCAGCCTACTAACCTAACAACCAGGCTATGTCATCACATCGGGATGAAAAAAGAAGTTGCCTACTATAATGTTGGGGAATTTATACTATAGAAACTTGGGTTTATTGAATGATATATGCTAACTCACAAACTATTTGGACACATATTACAGCAAGCATGGCATTTTTCTTCTGCCGCTTTTCTGTAGCCGATAGAATAGTCAGTGTGGGCAAAGCTCTGACCTGGCCGCCACCAATCGTTCCTAATGGAGGAATGCGCATAGTGACAGGAAATCCTTGTCTGCGCAGAGTGTGCAGTGTATAGCTGTGTCAAACTTGTGTTTGAAAAAGTCAATCTGTGGCAGGGACCTGCTGTGTAGTCCCATTTAGCTGCCGTTCACCCAGTGCACCTCGCCAAGTGTGCATTCATTTTCAACCTGATTGATCCTAGTGTGAATCAAACCAGAAAGCATGGCAGTGTAACGGCGTTCAGATATTCAACTGTCCTGCCAGGAAGTCCCTTTTTAAACGTTGTTTGGCATGCAAGCTGCGGAACAGCTATGAAATACACACCTGCATCCAACTATCTGACAACATCTCGGTGTGTCTGATTGTTCACTTACAGAAGGAGCTGCTTTCGTCCTTTGTGCCTTCCATGGTGCCATCCGGCAGCATCTGGAGGTAGAAGCCGTGTCTGCAGTAAAGCCGCGTGACGATGCCCTTCAGCTGGGGCTCTGCAGAGCAAACACAGGGTTAAACACACGTTAGCATAGAGTAACACACACATGCACACACACACTTGTCGGTGCACATATATTAATGCACACACCTACCTATGAGCATGCACGTTGACTAAACAAGGATGGTCTTGATATTTACACTGTGAAATAGTCAAACAGTGAAGTGTGTGTGCTTGCATGTGTGTTTGACTGTGGCCTTCAGCATGATTGATGGGACCCCGGTGTCTGCAAAAAAGAAGCATCTTTCACGGACAGGTTCGAGTGAGGCTGGCAAAATGTTCATTGTGTATGTGTGTGAGTGTGTGTGCGTTTACGCTCATGCACGTTTTCGTGGTTGCTTGTAACTGCTGCCCACCACTCTCCAATGGACTGAGCACTTCAAACATACAAGCTCTCTTGTGAGAACTGGGGGACTGAAACAATGCCAGCACCAGTCTTAAACTTCAAATTTCAGTTAATTAGGCTGGATGTTTGATGACAGTCTATGTGGATCCTGGATTCAAGGTCAGACAGACCTAACAGTGACAAGGAAAGCTGTGTGGCTCCTCTGATGAAGATTTGTGTCGGACTGTTCACATGTTACAACATCAGAAAGCGCTACTGGTGACCCAAAAAAGCTTTTGGATGCCGAAGAGAACAGTAAGTTGAACACTTTCTGAACAAACCGTTCTCACTCACATACGGACGCATGGTCAAGACCCCTTGGCATCAGTTTATAACACACTGGGAAGCCCCTTAGCAGCATAGTTCAACACACTGCGTGGAGGTCCAGTTGCTTCATTTACATGAGTAGGATATAAAAACAACAGAAATGCCAGAGTAAAGAGGTGGTTGGGGTGGATGGTGGGCCAGAAACTGGACTTTAAAAGTGGTTAAAAACGCTGCTCTCTGTCCGCTCCTACACACATACACACAGCGCGTCCTTAACTAGGAACTGTGCATGTGCAACTCCCAATAAAGATCATGTAGAGGCAAGATGCATCACTCCCTAGCTAAAACGAAGCCGTAAATGCACAGGGTGAGAGATACAACAGTATGACAAAAATATGTTCACCCTGTATGCTGCAGGGTAGCAGGGGCTGGGGCCAATCCCAGCTGACACCTTGGGGCGAAAGGCAGGGTACACCCTGGACAGGTTGCCAATCCATCGCAGGACAAACAAACAACCAGTCACACTCACACCTAAGGACAATTTAGGGTCACTAATTAACCTAGTCCACATGTCTTTGGACGGTTGGAGAGCACGGGGAGCACATGCACACTTCACAAGGCCAGGGCAACCGGGGTTTGAACCCGTGACTTGCTGTGAGGCCACCGTGCTGCCCCACAAAAATCTGGTGTTTTTTGAAAATTAAACCATGTAAACCTGTTCTGGTACAACCCCTAAATAAGGTTATAAACCTGAAAATGAGCATAATACCACCTCTTTAAGTTAAGTGACGTAGGTTACGTAAGTAACGTAACATAAATTATGTAAATTAAGTCGCAAGTTAAGTAAGGTAGTTATTTTAACTCAAACCATGATGCTTTCCCAAACCACACCAGGTAGTTTTGGTGCCTCAGCCTAACCAAATTGTGATGTTTACAATGTTAATGACATGCTGTTTCACGATGTTAACCAGTAGTTTTATTTTTAATGTCTAACTGGATATATTTATTAATGCTAACTTTACCAGACCTTGCATATTTAATGTTGCTTGACACAGGGGTACCCAGGGCGTTAAAAAGCGACGCTAGGTCTTGACAAAGTGTCTATATGTGATGAGGGAGAATGTGTTGTTCTGAATGGAGAGGCGTCAACTAAAATGACACACTTTAGTATTGGCAGTGGAGAATCTGCTACAAAGAGTAATTTTGATGGTTAAAAGACCCTTGTTTGTGATTTGGGGTTTAATTGGAAGCTCTATTTATTTGTCTTGTTTTAATTTATTCATTCATGTGTCAGGTATAAATATATTTTTAGTTTTATAATTGCTAGTTTTAGTTATTTTAACATATGTTAAGGGTCTTTGATCTTTTTTTATTATTATTATTTCTGATTTATTTGATTAATTTCCAAAAATTTAGGCAAATTATGAATCACCTTACAATTATAATTTTTTTCTGGGGTGTCTGTGATCAGTTATTTGAAAAGGTAGAGATAAGTTGACGTGCTCTAACATCGTGTTTGTGTTGAGTTTCTTTTCTCAAGCCGCACATGCATGACTGAGGGGGCTCTTTCACTTCCGAAGTGCTGAGGGAGACTAAATAGTGGATCAGAAGGAATGTCAGAATGCTGAAGTGTTTCCACAATGAAGTTTTAATGAGACGCATAAAATATGGATGAGGACGAGAAGTACGGGGGCATCTGGCAGTTGGCCCTCGGTTGACAGCAGGGGTGTGAGAGAGAGGGAGAGAGAGGGGGAGAGACATACGCTGCAAAAGCTATCCATCCCCACATTTACACCCATGGAATGAATTATACACATAAAACAAACATATTTTCCCTGAGGTACATGGAAAACAATGATGTAACACAAATTAAACAGTTTTTCTTGAATTAAGTTGAATCTTTCAGCTTTTTTCATATATCAAAACACTATAATACAGTGTTGGCATCATACCGAAATACTGCAGGTCAAATCAACCTCATATTATTCCGCCTTGGGAGAGTTCACACATCATTCTGAGATAGTAAACCCCAAGTGAGCTATTCTGAACTGCCACATGTTGGCGAGATGCAATGAAATGTTCAAACGGGGATAATGACTCACACTTTTGAACTGTCCTGTATACCGACTCACCTCCACACACCTGGTCAATCACTGTGTGAAGTGAGTGTACTTATCAGATGTTTATTTTAAAAATTGTCGGACCCCCCCTCCACCCCCCAATTCAACAAACACTTAGTTTGAAGCATACTGACACATTTAGTAGACATTGGTAAATGCCCATGGCTTTTAAACTGATGCTCCAATTTACAATGAAGGCTTTCTGTTAAAAATGTGTCATCTCTAAACCCCGGCCAAGATAACTTTGTTGACATCATCACAGGTTATTTTCTCAAAGTAGGAAATTTCAGAGCGACATTACACCACTGTTTTGACAGGCTGAGTAGTACTTTCCATGAAGAGTAAATTGACATTGAGAGCAATAGGCCATTCTTACTTAGCTGGCAGGCCATCTAATTATTCTTGTAGTAGTAGCAATCATTACGGTTTAACATTTTCAAACTTACTCAGCAATCTCCCTGTTATCAATTCAACAGTTTTCTTTTTTCAATTTTAAGAGAAGGTGACACAAAATTTTAAGTAAATATTCTCCTTTTTGTCATTGCAAAGCTAACGCATCTTTTGTGCACCTGGAGAAGTTGAAGCTCATTAGGGTTAAGCCTTGATGTCTCTGAATTAGTCAAATAAATGCTGGTGTGTAATCCTCCCTTTCATGCTGCCAGTGTGACACAACATGTTTGGAAGCTTTTCATCGGAGGTTCTGGTCTCAGCAGCGAGATTCAGCCGCTGTAACTACTATAAGATAAAAGCTCATCCATCCATCGCTGGCTGACTAGACACAGAAGGTCAAACATGGAGTGTGGTAATCTGTAATATCCTGAGTGTTAATCCCAAATTAAGCCTCAGACCACACACCAGGCCATGTGCCGCTTAACACATCTGCCTCAGTGCAGAGCAGCGCTGAGCAACAAACGCACACAGAGGAGAATGATGTTGACCTCTAGCGCGACTCCGCCTCTGTACATCTGCTGTCATCCAAAACACTCCACTGCTCAGACACAAGGACATGCAAGTGGTACATGTACAGAGCACATTCCCAAACACACACACACACACACACACAAAATCCACGTGAGAGCAAATGCTAGAAGCAGAAGAAATTGCCATTAGTCATACCTAAGGCAATATGTTAAACCGAGGAGTTCACACACACAGACTTTGCCAAAGTGTGTAGAGTGTGGCTGCAAGTATAAAGTGAAAATACAAGAAAAGGCCATCATTACCTACGATTTGAAACAAAATAAAAACAGCGCTATAATTTTAATACATTTTCAAGAAAATTACATTTTAGAAAGTGAAGTCAATAGTTCACCTTATTCCATGAAAGCTTGTAAAACAATACTCTTAAAGTGATGCTTTGACCTCAACAGAGCTCAGATTCTGTCCTCACAGTTCCAACACAGCTTGAAATCTGTTGGAAACCTAAAACGTCTTCTGATGTCCTCAAGTCAAAATTCTGGCCAAATAGTGGCACTAGAGTCAGTGTTCATCAAAGACACTGGGACTCATTGATTGGGGACCATCCATCCATCGTCAACCACTTATCCTGCGTACAGGGTCGCGGGGGGCTGGAGCCAATCCCAGCTGACATCAGGCAGAAGGCGGGGACCTGGACAGTAGTAACATAGTTGTATATATTCAGTATTTTCTTTTACCACACAAAAGTTAGGGAGTCTTTGGAATTGTCGGGAATAATCCTTTGGGGGACTACAAAAGTCCATGGCAATCTATCCAGTAGATGTTGAGATATGTCAGACAGATGGTCGAAGGAATGTCATCCTCAGGCTCCACTACTACTCGGGCAAAAATTATAAGCAGGGCATGTGATTGTTTTTAAGGTGCTGGGACAATTATTTTATGTTACCCTGCCCAGGAATTAAATTCATATTGGTCAGTTCTGCAGGGCACAATTTACATCCAGTGCCAATGTTCAGGACCAGTGAAGGAAGTAGTGTGCACTACATATATAGACAGAAGTTAATAGTGTATAGGTTGGGGTGGTAGATGGGTATTTTCCAGTGGGGTGACCTTTGCAACTGCTTCAGCAGTCTCCATGTCTCTGGTGAAATTTAGGTGTATCCGCTGCTGGTGATATGCATTATACATGCAGAGTCCAACTAGATTTGGTCAAGATGTGAAAACTTGTTTTCCACATGCATACTGGAGTGGCCTGGTCGACTTATGTACTTTGTGTCATGCATGAAGTAATTCAAAGCACTCATA